AATATTTATTTGGGTCGACATCACGCTGCATGCCGAGATCCCCAAATCAATATTTAAAATTCCATCAAGGTACAATCAGATGATAGAAGAATCTTGAGCATATGCTATCCACTAGCGTCAATCTACAAAGTGATACTCTAGGAATCTTAGTACGAAGTGCTATATTACTATCCTAGAGGTCCTTGACTAAAACCAGTACATCAAGCATCTATGAATATAACTAGAAGATTTATGGAGAAAGAAAATCCTAGTGTGACATCCAAGCAAATTTTTGGAGATCTACTAAATAAAAAACCTAGTGGACATCTAGAACAAATATCTAGAGATCCACAGGGTCAATCAGCGTACAACAAACGTGGCCCGCTACGGACGCATACCACATTTGTTGGGGGGGGGGGCATTTGTTGACCTGTATTAAGTGAAAAAAAAAGAAAAAAAGAAAAACAAAAATCAAATCCCATACCTACTGTAGGCGTCGCACGTCCTCGGCGCAGTTCACACGTCGCTCGGACGACCGATGTCGTTTCTCGCACGACCAAGCGTCGCATCTTGCACGTCGCTTGCACGACTCGTTCAAGTCATTAAAAGCTCGAGGGAATGAGGCCTTTGGCCTCTTCTCTTCCTCGCGCTCAATCTCTCCAGCTCTCCGTTCCGAAGCTCTCGCTCTCGCTCTCTCTCTCGATCTTCCTCCCTCTCACTGCCTCTTCGATCCCCTCGTGGCTGGGCGACTTCGCTCCTCCGACGCCATTCCCTTGCCTATTCGGTCGGAACTCCAACATTTTGATCGGAGGCAGTCACGCGAGCTCGCGGCTGTGAAGGAACTTTCTCCCTTTCGATCACTTCTTCTGCTCCCGCGTGGTCTTTCGGCTTTTCCCCTTCGACATTCCCTTACTGTGGATCGAAAGTTACGACACTTTGATCGGACGCAAGAGCGGGAGCTCACTCGCTGCGATCGTAACTTTCTCCCTTACCCGCTCCCCTTCGGCCGAGCCCCTAGCCCAATCCACTACCTGCTCCAGCCACCTATAACCCGACCTCTTCTCCACCTTGTCGTTTACTCTAGCCCTATTTGATCGATCCCAAGGCCAACCTGATCTTCTCTGTCGACCGTTCCCACAAGCCAAAACATAGAAGTGAGATTTGTTGCTTAATATTACTATTATTATTAGATATAATAATGATAATAATAATAATAATAATATTGGTTATTATTATTATTATTGTCATTATTTCAAAATAAAAAAATGTGTTGCTTTGATTTTTGTGCCCTCTTACCTCGACATGCATGTCGGGCTGGCAAACCACCTATGCACGCCTTTATTGAGCATGTTAGGAGGGAACCAGGTGCGACACCTACGACGAGGTAAGCGAGCGACCCCTCGGCCCCAAAAACCCTATCCTCGGCGTGTTCGACGAACCGGCAAAACACCTATGCACGCCTTTATTGAGTGTGGTAGAAGGAAATTCGGTGTGACGCATACGACGAGACCAGGGAAGTCTGGTGCATGCTTTTCTTAGTGTGGCCAGGACAACTCTTAAGTACTCGTACGTGGCTCTGTACCTGCGGGGAAATAACTGCTCTTTTCTTGTAACAGGTATCGAAGACCCATGTACGCCTTTATTGCGTGTGGTGGGGTCAAAGACTTTACACGGCCGTGGTGTCCTCAAAAGAGGGCACATACCACGCACGTCTTTATTGCGCGTGATGGGAAAGGCCCAATTTTTCATAGTTTTCCCCTAAATGGGGGAGACGTCGGGAGGTTGCCAAAATTTCAGGTGAAAACACACTCGACTCGGATCTGTTTTGAACTAAAAAAGAACAATAGATGGACTCCAATGAACAATGACTTGTGGACTTTTGAACTTGATTGAACACGAGCAGGGGACCTGAACAAAACCTAAATGATTTCTAAAGTTCAAATTCAAATAAAACAAAGATCAAATTGAAGTCAAATTCAAATCAATTTGAGCATGAAAATGAACCTGCAAAGATTACAGAAGACTTTGAACAAAAAATGAACATGCAATTGAACTCAAAGGACTGCAGGAGACTTGAGTTCAAATGAACTAAATGTAAGAGGACTCAAACTTAAACGAACTATAAAGAACTGCATTTGAACATGAACTCCGAACTCAAAACTGGAACAAGATGTGGAGAGCAAGGAACTCAAATTGAACTCAAGCTGAATTCAAACTTGACATGAGCAATAAAGGACCTGAATTTTCAAGAATAATAGAGGACTCAAGGAGTTTGAGATTAAATGGGATTCAAATAGCTGAACCCATAACAACATACAAGAGTCAAGCATGAGTTGAACCTTGAACTTGGGTCCGATTGAACACATAGGACTGGGCTTTAGATGAATGAACAAATCAGAGTCTAAATGCACAATTGTCCAAGCTAACAACAAGTCGCAAGTGGGAGATGAAATCCCAATGTACGCGAAAGATGAATGCAACGAACTCCTACAATAATCCTTACGAGGTTAAATGGAACGTGCTCACAAGGACAACAAGTGGTTGCATGATGCATATGTCCCCCAAATACACTATTGAAACCTCCAACGCTAGCAACTTTGCCTGTAGATTGAGATGGCAATACCAGCATTCAGTAGCGGAGGACCGTCCCCTGTAAACAAGTACAATCAACAAAACCACCTGAAATTGGTGAAAGGTGGATATGATATAGGAATAATGGGTCTTCTACAAACACTTCTAGGAGGTCGTAGTGGATACAACGATTCCCTAAAATGAATACTTGTGGATAACAATAGTGGATATACCGTAGGTACAACGAACCACTGTGGGCACAAGTACAAATATCACCTACGACAATGGTGATTAAAGATCTTCAAGTATGTCGGGTACAAGGGCAACCCCATGTATAAAAAAGGACACCTCTTGACAGAATGGAAGAGATGTTTGAGCAAATTTGAACTAAACTTCTTGGTGTTCCAAAATTTCTTCTTGATCCTGCACTTAAGAAGAAGACAATTCTGACATCCACAAATACACGGTTGTGGTGACCGGTGTATTTGTTTTAATACATTCATATTAAGCCTTCAAGGCCTATAATCAAGAGAATTCACTAACAAAGGCACGAAACCTGATCCTCCTAAGCAGGTAAATAGGAGTAGCCAGGGTTCGAATCATCGGATAAATATGCGGTCACGAAGTTGATCGGAATATTTATTTTATACATTCATATCAGGCCTTCAAGGCCTTTAACAAAGAGAATTCACTAACAAAGGTATAAAGCCCGCGAGAAACCCGATCCTCGGTCAACAGCTTGATCGAGGTTACAAGGTTTCAGTCCATAAATGGAAATGACCCCAAACTCCCCGATGATGGCCGTGTTGAATTTCTATCTCAACTGGAGGGGTTCACAAATATTTTCAAATGCCACTCAAGTACCCATTAAAATCCAAAATTCCAGAAAATCCCAAAATTCAGATGTTTAAAACTAAAATCTAACCATAAATCACTTAAAGCAAGATTCATCCACCCTCCACAACAATTTGTCAAGATGGGCAAATTCAAATATAACTTCAACTTACAAAGCGTTAATGCCTAGTCGAAAATATCACTATGATCCATTATCAAATAATCTCCTATCAGTAAGGACGTGGTGCGTGTCCTCTAACCTACGGTTTTGCCGCCAAATGACACCGTTGAATAAACGTTTATGACCTGGGGCCCTCTAAACCGAGTGGTTTTGCCACGAAATACTGATCATGGCCAGAGCTAATACGCTCCTTATTGGCATCAAATCCTTGAGATATGAATCAATAGGATTTGATCGATAGGGCACAAAGCCCTCTATTAGCTAAGGTGGATTCAAATTTTTTTCCCTTAGGCAAACATCCATCCCAGGTCTACAAGGTACCCTTGGACGAAGCAACCTATGGCTGCCGAAAAGGATTCTTCTGTGAGGTTGGGTTGACTACCTCCTCTGACTAAGTAGACCAGGGACCGCAATGGTCCAGGACGACGGAACCATTGGATCTTGATTGGGTCCATCATCCAGTCCCCCACCATCCACTTTAAGTGCAAGATGGTGAAAATTTCTATTTTAAATATTAAATCTCCAAATCCTCCAATCTTTCAAATATCCAAATCTATGCTGCTACTATATGCCAGATATTATGTATATTCTACGTATCTGATTGATGACTAGCCTTAATCGAAAGTTCTCTCTCGTTAGTGGGAGGGATAATTAACTATAGAAGCTTGCGCCTATAGGAAACCAGAACTCAGATCATAAAGTCCTCACAAAATGAGGGCGAAATCTCTGGGTAGTGTCTTATCTACAAATCCATCTGTCTTCCCAAAATTTACCCCTGAACTTATTCCGTTAAAACTCACTCGCCAAAGAAAAAGCATAGCACATCAGTGCGGGCGGAGGCCGGGGCCAAATTTTTGGAGCCCACAGGGCATTTTTCTTGAGGTTATTATAGCCCAATAAACATAGCTTGTATAAAATTCAGAGTTGTGTCCGATAGATAGTTATAGCAGCATGTTATTAACAATCCTTTAATGGACTAGCTATTACATAATTATTTCTAACTCTATTTATAATCTTTGGTTGAAGTCTAGGGAGATTAAGATTAAACTCTATAACAATCCTAATAGGCTGTAGTAGAATATTCATAATCTGTACAAGGTTGCCACATGTCTTACTTTTTTTTTTTCTCGGAGGATGAATTAGTGGCACCATTAACTTATTTGTGAAATTGTTCTGCTATCAATATTTAAAACTTTTCTGGTCTTTCAACAAGTTGTAGACTCCTAAGGCTTATGCAAGGGCTTAACTTGAGCATCGCCAGACACCAATTACTTCACTCATTATAAGTATCCTTCATTAAAAAAGTAACCATTAATGGTTAGCGAGTTCAAAATAGTTATTTTGTGGAAACTTTAACCAGTTTAAGCTTGTACAGAACAGGTGTCCTACACACTATTGTTTTGACTAAACTGCTCTCTCTCATTCATCTTTCCAGGTACACAAGTCTGCAACCATCCTACAGCAACTGGCAGCCGTCTGCTGTCTTAGTGAACGAACATCCTTAATGGCACTTCTTTCTTGGAATTCTTTGTGTGGATGGTTACAGTCAACAGTATTGCTCTGACTTCCCTTTTTCCTATGCTAGCATATTTATACATTAAATTATATTTCAAATCTCCTGCAGAATATGCTCATATTTATTGCTATGATCTGTTTTATTATGCCCTGACATGTTCTCTATTTAATAGGCCCAAAGTCTTCCCGCAGAGTATCTGAGACAAGGAGAAGCTGAAAGCCTAGTTCCGCTGTGGCTGAACGCCCTTGCAAGCGCAGCATCAGATTATCTTGCTAGCAAGACATCTGATGCTGCCTTGATAGATCACGGACACATGCTGGGAAAAGGGGGAAGAACTCTGAAGCGTCTTATCAGAGATTTTGCTGATACTCATCGCAATTTTCCTAAGCCACCTTAATATATTATCTGCAATTCTATCCTGATATTTTGTCTTCATGACCTTATTTCCAGATGAGATTTTTGGAGCAAAGCAGCAATTCTTCCCGGAGGTCTGTATCGCTCATTTTGCTTCACAAATTTTGATAGTCTTGATCATTGTACATATATTGTTATCATATTGTTGCCTAAAAGTCTCACCATGATGTTAGTTCACTGTATGTATTCTACTACAAAACTATTAAACATTGTATTATTGTTTATTTACAAACAGTTACAGCAATTAATACGCTTTAGAAAAAGCATTATTTGACAGAATTGTTGAGCATCTTAGGAGCTTTAATGTTCATCTGTCTTTCAGTAGTGTTATTTTAACATTGTTTGGTTTGTTGAACCATGTCTTAGGGTTTGTTGGGTAACTTCTTTATAATTTTTTTTTTAATGTAAAAATTATTATCAAGGGTATTTTTGTCATTTGGTTGCCAAAGCTATATGCATTAATATTCCTTTTGTCATTTTATAACTAGATGAAAAAATATTTAGCTTCTTATGAAGATTTTGGTCAGTTTTTTTTTTTTTTTTTTTTTTTTTTTTGTCATTTTATAACTAGATGAAAAAATATTTAGCTTCTTATGAAGATTTTGGTCAGTTTTTTTTTTTTTTTTTTGAGTGATATTGAGTGAATTAAATCACAAACACATTGGATAGGCAGGCAAAGTAGCTAATATTTTTTTGGTTGGTAGTCTAAGTTTCCAAGCAGCAGATTAAGGCTTCGTTTGGGACAGCTTTTTTATCGCTTTATAAAAAAGCTTTTTAGTATAAAATTTTTTTGAATTATAAAATTTATACTAGAAAGCCGTGTTAGGAAGCAGAGCGAAAGCTGTCACAAATAAAGCCTAAATGGGCACTATAGATTTTGGTGTAGTCTTTCTCTATTTGAAGTAGTGTTGATCGTTATAGTTATGTGCTTATCTTGTCTTGTTATATTAGGTATGTTATTCAAGCATGATAGGTTTCAAATGGAGAGCCATTTGCTAAATAGCATTAGAAGGCCTGAAAAATTTATATTTTCTACATTTAATTTAAGATTTTGAATTCAAAATGCTAGTTTACATCAACCAAAAATTTTATTTTTTAGATTTCAGGTTTTTTAAAAAATTGAAGCTTACCTAGGATTGTTGTCTGCAATTACTTAATTGACAAAGCTCTTATATCTTGATCAATAACTTCAAAAAATTTGTTCATGGTGGCTAATTTAGTGATTTTGACCTATGCTACATAGGAAAATCCCAAAGTGGAGAGCTTAGATATTTATTTTATTTTCAAATTATTTAGATATTGAACAAGTTAATGAAACTTGATTAGAAAAATTAAGAACCAAGAGAATTGACCAAGGTTCTATTCTTGAAATCTTATTGGCCAAATATCCATTCATTGTTCTTGAACAAGACACTCAAAAAAAAAAAAAAAGACACTCAAAAGGTTTTAGTTCTCTACCTTATTTTTAGCTATTGCTAAAGCAAATATTTTTATGCATGCTACTAATCACAAAATTTAATGAAAAACTTGCTTCTTCTATTTTTTGGTAACTTGTGCAAGAAGATAATAGATTTTATTTGATGCCTATTAGATATGTCCAAGATCACTATCTCATTTTGATTAGTCTATTTAGTCAAGGAGGAACCCCCAAATAAATCTTGCACCACTCATTTAAGTGGCAATAATGATGGAATGCAGTGAAAGCTAAATAAACAAAGTTTGCTTAAGCAGTTGTCAACATGTATGAGCTTCTAAAGGGGACACCACTCTTTGCATTGGTTCTAATAATAGAATATGAAAGAGAATATACTTCCAAATGCCATAATTCAAAAATTTTCTATAAATTTCCCAAGCTTGCTGATGAGAGTTGTTGAGATTTATTTGAATTCTTAAAAATTGATATTTTTTTTATGTATAAGATTTCATGATTAATTTATCTTATGCGTAATGATGAGAATAATTTCCATTAAGAACATCAATTATTTTGTGGATGGTGGTTACGAGTTTGATTTATAATAGGGGAATAAATATGAACGGATGATTAATCCCATCAAAATCTCATTATTTTATTATCTCGGATTTCTTTGATGAACCCAATCAACTAATAACAAAATGGGAGTCCATTTAGTAGATATATATATATATATATATACCGCCGGTTCAACTGAGAACGACCGGTTTGGGCAAGAACCACGAACGGTCCAGTTCCTTAAAACGGTCGGTTCAAATTTTTTTAATATAAATAATTTAATATTAAATAAATATTAATCTTAATATAAAACTTTTAAATTTATGTAAAGTACTTGATTAAATATTAAGTTGAACAACCTCATGTATTCATTTCTCCAAATGAGCTTTTGACAAGAGAGAAAGTAAAAAAGTTATATAAACTATGCAAAGCAAAACTTTCCAATCAATGTGGGACTAAACCATGCAAAGCAAAGACCCATCTTTAGTTTCATATTTTTATGCTTTGTATAGTTTTGTATTATTTTTTTAAACAATTTTTTTAATTAGTTTTTATAATATGAATAATATTAATTTTTTTTAGTTGATAATATTTATTTTCTTAGTTCATAATATTTAATTTTTTTCTATTTATTTTTTTTATATTTTTTATTATATATATTATAAGTTTATGTGAATTCATTTTTGTTTGTCAAACACTTGAGTAAAAATATATCATATAATTATAATAGAACTAATTATTTTTTAAAGTTGAATAATATTTTTAAAAGCTTTTTACTTATTTAGATGTCCGGTCATATATTATGATGTAAAAATTTTGTAAATTTTAACATATTTACAAAACTTTGTAAATATTAAGTTTTTTAACATATTTGGTAAATATTATATTGTTAAAAAACTTTGTAAATATTATGGTAATTTTTTTAACATATTTAGATGTTACAAAATGAAATACTTTTATATAAAAATATTTAATTATATTTATAATTTTATATTATGAGCTTTTAAATAATTTATGTTTATAAGTTAAATCTAAATATGTAATATAAATTAACAATAATTTATATGAATTATATGGTTATTATATTTCATTTTGTTAATTTTATTAATTTTTTTAATAGTAATTATTTATTACATCATCCAGTTCGACCCCGATTTGACCGGTCAAACCGTGAACCTCTCTCTTCTCCGGTTCATTGTCCGTTCCGATTTTCAGAACATTGAATAATATATATATATATATATATATATATATATATAATATTATATATATATATATATATATATATATATTGAGTGGATTAAGTGATTGTCTACTTGAGGATCACACCAACTTTTGGAGAGGTTCAAAGATTCGTTTTTGAAATAAAAATGTTTCTAAGATACAAGCATGGATAGTTGTGGTTCAAAGGTACAAGTACAAGATCATTTAGGGTTCTATTGCTTTGCATCATTGAATCATACTATAATTGGCTTGGAGACACAAAGCAACTACTTCTTTCTCGGAGACATAAAAAGGCCAATTCAATGATTTAAAGATGAATAATATACTTAAGAAGAGTACCTTAAATTTTATGAGAACACATTTCAAATAATTGAGATGCTTAAATTGCATGATAGATGAAACTACAATGTATTCATAATTTACGTTGAGAAAGAGATCCCTAAGTTAGCTCAAGTTAAACTATCCCAAAAGAATGCCTTAAGCACAAAGGTAGAGTGACTTCAACTTTTATTTGTATGTGCATACTATTATGAAACAAGGATTATCTTTGTAGGAAACCTTGTATAGAGTTGTCAGTTGATTTATGAGAGATTAGGACTTATAACTCTAATTTTAAGGCCTAAAGAATTAGGCTATATCCTAAGTGTCATGAAGGCCAAAAGATGTTCATACTAACAAGATGGTTATACTAGCTTAATATTAGCCTACCTATTTATAATTGGTATTATAGTTCTAATCTTATAGAAGCTCTGAGATGCCTAAAGGTAGGGCTAATGACCTTGAGAGTTAGAAATCCTCAAAAGAAAGTCTTACAACTCTAATTTTGGAGAAGGCCTTACAATGTCAAAGGTGAGGCAAGCCATAAATAAGAAGTTATAACTTGGCAATTAGGGTTCATATTTTGGACATTCAAATGAACTCAAATTTTTATAAATTTTAGTTCACAAGCTAAGGACGACATAAGAAATATTCCCCAAAATTTGAAGTTGCTTGAAGTTGTTTATGATTCATTAAAATTATTTATCTTTAAAATTTAATAGTATGTTTACTGTTTTTAAATCCATTTCATTTAAAATTTCTATGACTTTAGAGTTTATTATAATTTTATTGAAGCTTACTTTAGATTTTAGGATTTCTCTTAAATTGCTTATTAATTGTGCAAATTTCAAGATTAATTAGGGTATTTCTCATATAATGAAATTAAAGTTTGGTTATAAACCCCTCAAATGATCTACAAAGTTAATGAGATATAAATCAAAACCTAGTGATGGATTGAGTAATAACCTCTACAAATTTGAGCTTAAGTAGAATTGCATTTAGTTTTATGATTTGTTAATTTTAAATTTGGATTAATCTTGAAAAATTAGAAAAATCCAACTTTCTAGCTTCAAAATGATATTAAATTATTTTTTTCCTAATTTAACTATTTACTAGGCTTTTGAGATATTTTATTATATATTTTTATAATTTTAATTGAATTATTTAAATAAATTTATAAAATCCTACGACCATTTGGGTTTTTATCGTTACAAAAAATATAGGGTTTAAGAATTTCCCAACCAAATAATTTCAAAATATTTTTAAATTAAAATTAGAGGATGTGAGTTCCCCAAAGTTCTATCTCTAAAAGTCGGAAGTCATTTGAATAATAAATAAATTTTAGAGTTATAGGGCTAACTTTTTAATGATTTATTAATAGGATTAGATTTAGTTTTGGCCTAAAAAATTCTCTTTATTATTCTAAGATAGGACTAGTGTTATAAATGTTATTTTTTAGATTTAAGGATTTATTTAGTATTTATTCAAATCTAGGGTTTATTTAGGTGTATTTGCATTATAAAATCATCTAAAGTTAACCCAAGCATTAAACCCTTATGAAAAAAAAAATTAGAAAGGTCTTGGAGCCCCATAAGATTATCTCATAAGAGTTAAGGGCAATTTAGTGGTGCTAATTAAATGTTTAACCCTATTGATTCAAACCCAAAATAATTTATTCAAGACTAATCTAATTAAATGTTTAACCCTATTGATTCAAACCCAAAATATTTTATCTCATAAAATTTTTTCACAAGAAACCAAGATACATATAGGCGAATCTCAGGATTCTTCCCTCCCCATTATAATGGGCAGCAAAGTAAATTTTGGGCTGAAGTCTTTAGGGACAAGACACTAGGATGTTGTCAAATTTTCAGGAAGGTTCCAAGGTATTTGGACAGTTGGCTTTTCTGTTAAAGCTGAACAAACTTGCCATATTGGCAATCCATGGCCATTTTGGTCGGGCAGCCATTGATCAGCCACATCAAGCAATAAAATGGACAATGGGGGTCGGGCAGCCATTGATCTTAAGTTTTGTTTGGGACAACCTTTTTATTGCTTTCTAAATCAACTTTTTAGTACAAAAATTTCTCATCCAAAAAAATTTTGTACTAAAAAACTGCTTTAAGAAACAACCCAAACGAAGCCTTACAGCATCCACCATAAAGCAATCTACATTAGGTTTTTTCTTTTACCCCGATCAAACTACTGTTTTTACAGAATCTCATTCATTGTCTTTCTATCTTGTATTATTAAAAACCAAGTAAAAGATGCATTTTAATTTCAATTGTCAAAAGGAAATATATCATCTATTTTTCCTCAACATAGAAATTCCCATTACACTCTTCCAAACACTTACCCCAATTTTTGCTAATATGCATTCCCACTCCATCCCCTTCGCATAAAATAAAAGACAGAAGAGTTTCATATGATCTAACCTCCTGATTTTGGTGCAGTAGAATATAGCTTTCTCTATCCATTAGTATTCAATGTATCAATCAAAGTTTGCCTGGTTGGTGGCTCGTTGCTTCTCCCTCCAATTTGCTCCCCACATCATGGCCTCAGACACGGCTCTATCCCGGTCAAATTCCTTCTTCAATATGCTAGCAATCTGGCTAGGAGAATCATCTTTTTCAAGTACATAGCCATCCCACTTGCACCCATTCTCATGATTTTCTCGCTCCATTTTCTCGTCGCTTGGCCCTTGGCTTTGCCGCTCCTCAGAGTGGTGACTTGATGTATGGGGATCATACGGTTTGTTTACCAAAAAAGATAGCGCAGTTACAACATCGGCAATGAGCGGGCGAGCAGCTGCTTCTTCCTGTATGCACATGAAAGCTACTGCTACTGCTTGGTAGAGCCCCCGCATTGGATACCGGCCTTGGAGCCTAGGATCGGCGAGCTTAGAGAGATTTTTTGGATCATTGAAAATCGGTCGAGCCTGCCAGAATCTTCATCAGTTATGCTATTATGAAAAAAATGCATCCTCAAGGATAACAGGCTAACCGGAATCTTCAGTCACCTTTGGTTGCATTAATTTGTTAAAATTTCCGATAACATGAATGACCTGCAACAAATGGAAAAGCAGTTCTACAAATGTTTGATCAGATATATTTATCATACAATGCAAAGAAGTTTCATATTTTAAAAAATATATAAATCTAAAAGTTAGGTGGAAGTATTTTGATAGCTGTATTATATATACGAGAATGGGAATAACTAATCAGTTCTGAACTGTTTAATCATACTAGCAAGCTTCCCTTTGTAATATACAGGCAAATCACATATGATGCTTTCTCCTTGTTTTCAAAGTCAGTGTTTGGGATCAAGCTAAAATGGAAAATGCCGTCTATAAAATTTATTTAAGCATTAAAAATAACACATTTACAAAATAATTTGAATTGCGCAAAATTTGAAACTCGAGATATAATAGAAATCAAAAGGAATAAAATCTAAAACAACCAAATAAAACCTCAATTTGGTTTTTTAAACTAGGCCAAAGCAAGTTTGAACTACTCGCGACCATAGACACTTCCTTAAACCAGCCAAAACACATCTACAATTGCTTGCAATAAAGATGTGAAAAACTCCCATGTCTTAGGTAAAATTATATTTTGTAACTGTGGGCTCCGAAAATTCGGCCCCGGCCTCCGCTCGCTTTTCTTATTCGGCGAGGGAGTTTTAACGAAATAAGTTCCGGGGTAAATTTTGGAAGGCAGATGGGTTTGTAGATAAGACACTACCCAGAGATTTCGCCCTCATTTTGTGAGGACTTTATGATCTGAGTTCTGGTTTCCTATAGGCGCAACCCCTATAGTTAATTACCCCTCCCGATCACGAGAGAGAACTTTCGATTAAGGCTAGTCGTCAATCAGATACGTA